CACAACATAAATTTGATCTTTAGTTGCCACTCAGTGTTGCTTGGAAAGTCTACTGTCCACAAAAATGGCTTTCTCCTCCAGCATTTCCACAGCACTGATGGGCATCCTTCTGCTGTTTATTTTATTATAACATATTTACTGGCAGCCAGGTGTATGGCAAAAATAATGATATTTCAGATGCATAAACAAGAACTCTGTATAAAAATAAGACACAGATTCTCCTCCTGCAAGAACAGTCTTGCATCTTTGAAACATACTACACTCCACAGAAAGTCATGTGGGCTGCTTTTTCAGTTTTATAATTCATAAGGGGATTGTTTTAATAACTGGCATCATGTGGGCATGTGACTATTTTACATATATAACACTATCAGGCAATGCATTCTAAGTGTACTGCTAGTCATCATAGCTTTTATTATAGCAATCAATACTTTGTATCCTTAAAGGATGTAATATAAATGTAATGTCCATCCCATCTTACAAACCTCAGTCTGCAAAGTGCATTGACCTACATTGTGAAAGAAGATTTCAAGGATGTCACTAAAAAGAAGAAAACAGAACAAGCTAGGTTTCGTGCTGTGCATGGCTGTAGCCTTGAAGTGCTAAACGGTCTTTTGCAGGAAACAGTATTGTACTACTTCCTCTTCCTGCATACCAGGAAATTTCTTTATTCCAATCAAGACAATACCAAAATTTAATTAGCTTAAAAATTCTGAGTAACTGAATTTAGAAACAGAGTTTTAGAGATCGCAGAAATTATACTGAATTTGTTTTACCTGAACTGTGTCATGTCCCCATCTCCCTTTTGTTTTTATGAATTAAAAATAAGTACATATAAGCTTCTGAAACCCCTTTTCCATATCTTTACTTTGCCATACCATAACCTCTTCTCTTCCTCCTTTGTAATAATTTACATCCTTAGAACTTAGAGACATATAAAACCTTTCAGCTGGGAATGAGAAAATGTCTTCTCAAATTTCCTGAGAGTTAATCAGTCTCCAGCAGACACATTTGGCTTAAATGTCTCTTCTTGCAAACCCCAGAGCTCCATCAACACATAAGGCTTCCCACACATAAAGCTGGGATCTCAGACACACTCTTTCCAGCCTCAAATCGGAAAATACTTCTAAAATTTTGTTGTTGGGCTCCAATTATGTTATTCCATTTGTATGAGCACCTGCTAAGGGTGAACATAAATCCTTGGGACATGAATCACTAAATTTCACATGGATGATATTGTAGTTAGATCCTGGTTTCAAATACCTGAAAGGAGGTTGTAGTCAGGTGGGGGTCAACGTCTTTTCATAAGTAACAAGTGACAAGACAAGGGGAGATGACATCAAGTTGCACCAGGGGAGTTTTTAGATAAGGATACTCAGAAAGATTTTTTCACTGAGAGCATTATCGAGTATTGGAACGGTCTGCCCAGGAAGGTGCTTGAGTCACTGTCCTGGGAGCAATTTAAAAAGTGTTCATATGTGGTGCAGGACACGGTCTAGTTGTGGACTTGGCTCTGTTCGGTTAATGGCTAGACTCAAAGATCTTAGATATCTTTTACCAGTGAAACAATACTATGATTCTGCATTTTTACTCACTGCCTATCATGGACAAAAGGCACCTGGGATGTTGTGATCTGCTATTCAAAGTCCAAGTCTGCTGATCGCTCCACAGAGGCTCTGGTGGGCATTGGTCCTGCATGCAGGGTGGGCTTCCATGCAGTGTTCAGCCCGACAGAGCAACACCTCCCACCCACTGGCACACATTGGCACCAATGGCCCAGCCAGTGACTCCTATCCAGCTGCTCCCTGGTCTTCCCTAAGATTTCTATGCTGGTATTTTCTTTCTTGAATCCTTGCTTGGTGAACGATCCCATCTTTGACAACCCTACTCACACCTCCAGCATTACCTTTCATACTGCTTTGGGGATGTTCCCACAGCTGTGCCAGCAGCCAGGCCCCAGGTCAGCAAGCAGTGTCCCATCAGGGCCTCCTGCTATGGCGTGGTGGGAAGCTCATCCAAAGATGGTGGAAAGGGAGTTTCACAGGTGGTCAAGTCATTACTCAGGACCCATATGCCTTTACTATTCACATCTACAAACCAAAAGGTACTATGTTTAGCTGATTACATTTTCTTCCATTGACAGGGGTACTTCACCCCATAGCCACCTTGCCCTGGTGGACAAGTCATGGAGGAGCATGGATCTTCTTAAGCACTTGTCAATGTGACCTTTAACTAAATGTAGTTTATGTTTCTGTCCCTCTCACTCTACCATAGAGCACAGCTGAGAGGCAAATGAAAATGTGTCCACCAATCTCTAGAGCTTGTGAGGCAGACACAGTAAGGTGAACAATGAGGACCTCTTCCTCTGCTGTGACTGACAGCATTTTCTCCTCAATACAGGAAGCTGCGTGAGAAGGAATGCCCAGTGACTTGGACTCCTGATAGAATTAGCTGACCAGGAGGCCCCCTGCATGAGTACATCAGATTTGATCCACCTCCCTATAAGATTTTGGGGTCAGGTGCTTAGCATGAAGGGATTTTTAGAGTTAATATGCCTCTGAATTCACTCATAGATCTGAAAAATTATTCTTCTGAAATAGCATCTACTTATGTTCTAAACATTTTGGTTTTGGACAAAAGGAACAAGTACCTGACATACTGACAAATGAGCTACTGTACTTAAACAGATGATTTGGGGAGTCTCCTTTCATTCTGGAACACAATCGGGTGTACATTTGATAGCAGCAGCATTTTCAAGCAATACTGACTGATGGGATTCCTAACAGAAAGCTTTTGTCAACAGTGACATCAGACCCAAAAGAAGAGGACGACATCACTGGCTCATCATCAAGCTAAAGGACTGACTTGACTAGACTGGGTGCTTTGGAAGAGGAAAGTAACCTAGAGCAGACATGGATTAAACTGAGAGGGTGTAAAAGTGTACACAAGCACAATGTGCTTTTAAATTGGACTTGTGTCTTTTGTGATTACACAAAAGCCAGAACAGGAGGACGATTGTTGCAGAGAATCTGAAAATTTTGCAACATTCTTCACAGAACAAAGACCCAAATAATTTATTATTTTGGAATACTGTCTGGCCTGGTTTAGGACTTTTCATTTGGCAGTATAAAGTACTAAATTGTGTGGGATGATGATCAAGGCCAAATAGTAATGCAGCCTGTTGGCTGAAGGTTTGCGCACCACATCTCAGTTTGACTTCATAAAATGTACTACCAAACCATTTTAATCTGAGGGGTCAGCTGAACTATTGTTAAGGTTTATGTAAATACAGTACCATAAAGCAAATACTATACTAAGTATTAAGGATCATTTGTCTTCCTTAGTTTGTGCTTCATGTCTTGTTTGTACTGAAATTTTTACATGTCCATTTTCTTTTGGGAACAAAATGAGCATGAATGAAATGCTATCAGCTAAGAGCATTTTATGCTATCACAGTAATTCATTCTTTATATGTCTGGAGGGACAGTGTAAAGAAAAGTCCTATTTCAGGTCATTTAAAGTGAATATCCCCTCTCTATGTTAACAGCAGCATTTCATGTATGGAAGTACTATTGTGGAATTTTGTTGGTCAGATTCTTTTATTTGTTAGCATTGAGCCCAGTGAAAATTGACAGTAGTTACACAATAATGAGGTGCTGCTAGTATATATTCTTCCAATCTACCATGGAAAAAACTGCATGAGAAATAGCGCCATGCCAGAAATAAGGGCATGCTCTAAGCACAAACATCTTGTGGTAAGAATGTTGCAAGGACAAGAGGCAGAGTCTGGTTGACATTTCATAACCTCATAATTTGGATCAGGCAATCCTACAGTGCGTCATTTCCTTTTATCATAAACCCATATTTTGTACCAATGACTCTTTCCAAACTGCTTCAAAAGCTGTACAAGAGCTCTAATAAGAGCTGTACTGAGTGTACTAACACTACTGTATTTTGGTGGGATTTTTTTGTTTCTTTGTTTTTTTAGGGTTTGTTTGTTTGTTTGTTTGTTTGTTTTAAAAAAGGCAAAAAGAAATACAGCACCTAGCTTTTTCTAATAACAAGAAATAAGGGAAGGTCTTTCATAGTTATGAAGTATTGTTCAGGGATTGGATGAGTTCTTTATATGATATTGTTAAAAACAACCAAGACAATGTATTCTTTACTAGGTGTCACAGCTGTTTGGCATTTTGTATTTAAAGCCTATCTTTAAAAGCAACCTAGATTTAGTTTACTTAAGCAAACAAGATGTGAGCTCACATCTCAAATGACTTGCACCCTGATGCCCTTAGAAACACTGATAAAAGAGAAATATCCTAAGACTAATTTGACACTGTGACTATTGTAGATCTTAAAAATTATTTAGACAACAAAATTTGTGAAGCTGTTCAACTTAAAGTAACATGACAGGTGTAGTTGAATAACCTGCAAATGTATTTACAAAAGTTCCATTGATGACTCCCAGTAATCGCTTTCTCTTTTCAGACAGCTGCCTGAAACTAATTATCTCATTTTAGCTTGAGATTTCCCTCAAAAAATTGCTGAAATCTCAAAATTGCTGCTACAAAAACATATATAGTAAAAATAACTCTACAACAGTCTGACTTGAATTGTAAAGGGATGACTTATTGAGGAATAATCTTATGCCTTTCCTAGATCAGATTAATATCCTATTAACTGTGTGGGAGGGAAAGAGTCTCACCAGAAGGCTCTTCTGTGTGCTCTGCAAAGATCTTCATTGTGTTTCATCCAGTCTTCATAAGTTTTACAAACATTGCTGAATCTCAAAAATTTTTAGATACTTATAATTCAGTCAATTAATATGCAAATGTGCAAATGTTACTCTAAGCCTGTAGCACACTGAGTTTAATTTCACAGAAAACAAAATATGTTTTTTAAAATGCTATGCACACTGCTGTCCTTGCAGGTAAGAACATTCCTGCAAGTGCTAGGATGGGGAATCCTTAATTATCACTAACCAATAATAGGAAAGCAAAAGATTGTAAGTAATCCTTTATTACGCATTTTTATTCGTAAGTATTGGTATTTGGGGCATGCACACTAACACTGCAACAATTATATCTATCATAGCATTACAACAGAAATTATCTGAAACCTTGTATTTTTGCATTTTGTGAACAGTGTTTTCTGCTTCTGCAGTCTTATTTGAGATTCAAACCAAACTCCCTGGTAAGTCAGGCTGATAAAGATATCCACCTCAAAAAATGACCAGGCAAGATTTTGGCACAAATTGCTATAATTTATATTACACAAGGGGATGTCACCAGTGAAGACGAAGTACCAAAATTTGTGATGCAACTTGAATTATTTCTGGAAAGGGAATGAAGCGATTCATTGTCCAGCAATTACTTAGAAGCAAGACAGTAAATAACCCAGATGTAATTATTTTTTATAGTCTTATTGGTTGTTATTACTGGAGGAAGATCTAGGGATATTGTCTTTGCATATTCAGAACCAGTCATGCTTATAGCACACACCATCATTTAAAACCAAAGCCACATTGAAATGCCAATGCATAGAATAAAGACAGTCAATTGTCTGGGACACTCCATTTGCATGAGATTTGTGACAGTCCAAGATGCTGCCATTCTTTGCTATCATTCTGCCCATTTCTTCAGGGCAAATGCCACAGTAATAGAATGGAATGTGTGCTCAAGGTGTTAGCTCTTCCTTTTTCAGCCAAACACCAGACTTCCCACCAAAACACATAAATGAGGGCACCAGCATGTCTGTCAACACCGCTGCAACAATGGCAACAGGTACTGGAGAAGGAATAAACAGTATGGAGCAGTTCTCACTGCAGCAGTTCTTCCCATGAACTGGCATCCCCGTGAGCACAAATGGAGACTTTACCTTTCAAAAGGCAAGTACTGGAAAATGTTTGAGGTAACTATCTTTGTTTTTTGCATTTTCAACAATGTGTAAGATAGGGACAAAGTTTCATCTCCTGCATTAGAATTACACTGGCAGAAGCTCAGACCAACAGCTGCCAGAGTGACATCTAACACCTAAGTGACATCTAATGCATAACTGCATTACAATCTAATGTATAAACATGTTATCCTGAGACATTATATAGCTGATAACTCTTTTCTTGCACAGATTAAAAGTGGTAGGAGTCATGAGAAGAACAAATATACATACATACTCAGGAGAAAAGGACAATTTTGTACTACTAAGCCACAATTCTTTCTAAATGGATGAAGTATATTTCTAGTCTTGCCAGTAGTATAAAAATAGTTTTCCACGATTAATACAAATTCAAATGAAACCTAAGAAGACATGCATAATGCAGTTAACAAACATGTGGCATCCTGCATTCTCTGAAATTGAAGTGAAATTGTTTATGAATAATTTTATTTATGAAAACTACTCCCACTGAAGTAGGAGCCCTTAAGGATGAAAATCTATTTATGCAGATAACTAGTATAGGACTGACAGGGCAATATGAGCATTTTGAACTGCTGTCATTGGACAGAAAAATAATTCAAATTCTGTGGCAAGGTTAATTCTTCCATTTGACAGGTTCCCAAATTCCTCTACTTTCAATGCAGAGGACTCCTCTTCAACAGGGTAATAAATAAATTTTCTTATTTACAGTATGTAGTTCACAGAACACAAGGAAAGATAACTTCCACAGAGAAAAACTTATCAAGGAACAAGACTCTAAATGTTTCCAACTTTTCCATGTTTTCCATCCCTACCTCTCTCCATATCTTTATTAATATAAATTTAAATCATTAAACAAAAATACAGTCGCATATAACAAGGAATCAAAACCCCTTCCCCAGTTTCAGAATCAGGATAATATGGACAGGCATTACCGAACAATGCTGAATTTGAAAGAACAGATCCTGGTGCATATCCAACCCCTGGCTGAAAAACACTGATACAGTTAATTCTCATAAATTCTATTCTTTTTAAATCCCTCTACTGAAGATGCCCTTCCCCTCTGAAATACAGTTTTATTTGGAACAACAAACAGAGAAAATCCTAATCAGTTAAAAACCTAGTATAAGTTAGAAATGTTATTCTTCATGTTCTTAAAGCCCTTGCAGATAGGGAAGAAAATGAATGCCACAACTGGGTCACATCAAGTAAAAATAATTTTTGAAAAGTATTTTTCATTGCAGAACATGTCAATTCTGTAAACCACAGACTACAACTCTCCTCATTTCTCTATTAGATCTTATTTTAAGCAGAGGCAAGAGGCACTAATAATTAGAAGACGACAGTAGAAGAAGTGTAAATCCATACCTGACAGCTTGACTTTAAACATGAAGAATACAGAACCACAGAATAATTATTCAGCCTGGAGTAGACCTCAGGAAGTTACAGTCCAATCTTCTTATCAGAGCAGACTTAGCACTAGGTTGCAATCAGGCAAAAAGGTTTAAACCGAAATGCACTATCCCCCTTAGAGCAGTTGGATTGGGTATATAGTTAATGTGCCTCCGGTAAGGTGAACAGTTTTTAACTACGTGCATATTCAACAAGAAAAATGGAGCAGCCGTGTAGCTGAATATACATAGAGTGTACATACCCGACCTCTTCCTGGAGACAAGTACACTTAACAAGAAAACTTCTTCAAATCAAACCATGCCTATCTTATGGGTGAGTTTTATACAACAGTCTAGTTCTTCTAAGCACAGGCTGCATTGGTCACTGTGCAAAATTCCTGAACTCTGAACAGACATTAGTAAGAATTTTCACCTAATACTGTGGCAAAACCACATAATCATAAGAAGCAAGAAACAAGTGCAAAAATTCATACATAATTTTCTCATTTTTAATTTAGTAATTACTGAATTGTTTCAGAGCAGGCACTGCATTGCTTCAAACACAATCAAGTATCATTGAAATAATGTCAAAAAATAACCTCTTCACCTCAGTATACACACGCGCATATACACAGACATACACAAATTAATTTAGAAAATCTGTACATATATATTTTTCAGGAAGCAAGTCAAAGAACTGTACCACCAAAAATTATTTTCTGTACTCTGACGCACTAAAAATTATAATCCGTTTCTCTGGATTATAACCCAATCTTCCCGGGAAGATAGGGCTTAAGGACACAAAATGCCATGCAGTACTATTTAGTAGAAAATGAACTGGTAAATAAATGTATCTATTTAGGGCTTAAAGAATACACAGAACTCCTTAAATAAAACAAATGCAAATTTATCAGAAATATTTACTGTCCTTGAGCTATGCAGGCCCCAGTCATTTGTGTTAACTGAAGCTTATCCCCTTTGTAGAAAACAGAAAGGAAGTATATGACTGGAAATTCAGGATACTTTATTTTCTGTTACTGGCAGCAAAGCTGGTTCAAGAAAGGTGTATTCTTGTTTAATCTGGGTCTGAAAGTCCATCATCTTGATTAGTTGCCTCATAATCACCCGCATTATCACCTAATTCAACGTCTTCCTCATTGCTCTCTGCGCTGTAATCAACTTCTTCAAGGAAGCGAGGCTCATCTTCATCCAAAACATATGTAGTGGGGCTATAACAACAAGAAGCTCCATGAATCACATTAAAAGTATTATTTGGATTAACACATTCAGACTATGTGCCCTGTCCCTTTCCCAACATGCAGTAATCCGAAAATTACCTCAGGAAAGGGGCAGATTACCTGAAATGGGACTGGCTTTTTAGATGAGTGTAAAACAACTAAGAGACAAACCCATGTTTGTAACGCCTTGAACTAATTACTTAGTCATATACAACTCATTATCCAAATGTGCCATGACAAATCTGCTACACTAATGGCCCATAAGAATTTAATGTAAATACAGCAGTATCAGAAACTGCTGAAGAAGAATCCAACTACCTAAGGACACAGCCATTGTGGTAGGGTATAAACAAACCCCTGTATTTTATTGAAACACACACTTTACTGAAAAGCACTGTAACCAATTACTTTATACATATCAGAGATGACAGAACAAGGGATCATGGTTACACCTACAAATAAGTTCCCACACAAATCACTTAACTCCCATCAGATTCTCATACATTTGTATCCTGGGAAAACTTAAGATTTGTCAAACATTGCAACTCTGAGGCAATGCACTTAGTGAACTGATGCTCTGACTACAGAATAGTCTATGCCCTTAACTAATACCATCGAAGAACTTTAGTGCTAACTGGAAAAAGGTTAAAATACAACTTTCTGATCCTCTCACCTCCCTAGAACAGAGAAAGGGATGACGGGGGAGGCAGAAATGTGCTTTCCAGACCCACTTTTACTTGGGAGATAAAAAGCTATCTGCTTATAAGCGCTAAGTTCTCCTAAATATTTGATAAGTATTTTTACATTAATTTTAAGGCCAAAAAAGGTTTTGTAATGCATTTTACCTAATAATCAAATCACACATAACTCATACAAAACAGTGAGAATGTTCTTATTGAGAAACATCATAAAGAACATGTAGAAATATTTGCATATTAATTTTAATTAATTTTCTCTGAAGATACACAAAACTTAGCTTGTCTGTGGCTTTATAATTAAAAGGACTAATCACTGCTTCTTTCTGAAGACCTTTTAGGAGCTCAGCTGCACCACTTCAAATCTAAAATGCTATCTCTATTCAATATAAATCAATTTCACTATATTCTTCCTCTACCTATAACCTCAATGACATTCCACATTGTAGCATTTTGTACTGTTGACAGTTAATTCAAATACTGGGAGAAAAACTGTTCCCTAGCTTAGGGGGAAAAAAATATTTGCATTCAAAACTATCTGTATCATTGTTCACTAAACAAACCTGTCTATTAGCTATGGGAAACAGAAAGCTCCACAAATCAAAATACTTTATGAGTTATTTAAGCTGTAATTAGGGCAATAACCCACTGATGGTTAAGGAACTGGGTGTTTGTAACAAAATTGTTTCCATTTTAGGAGAGACAAAGAGTGAAGAAAATAACCAGGATCTTTGCTAAGAAGTCTCTATCATTTCACATATGGTGAACCCAACATACAATAACATGTTTTGCATGAAGCACCTGTGGGAGAACCAGCAAAGGAATACAAATTTTTTGTTCTTTCATCCTGTAATGCTTTCTGCCCTAGGAAGTCACTACGCACCAACAGTTTCTTTAAGGAAAGAAGTCGGGGAAAGAAAAAGTTTAAATGTTTCATTTATTTAAAGAAACAAATCAAAGGGACTTCAGATGTATTGCATTCTGACAAGTCCACAGATTTTTTTCAGTTTGTGGTTCTCATCACTTAACACAGGTACCAATTAATTAATTTTCATATGCAAGGAACCCACACCTCAGTTAAATCCACACAGAATAAACTGTGTAATTCATAGGAAATGGAGCCATTAAATCTGAACATTGACCCAATATTATGTCAAAATTCTGAACACTGACAGAAAACTACAATGAGCCATGTCAAGGAGAAATATTCAACCAGTGACAGTGGGATGTTTTAGGCATTAGAGTAATCACTTATAAAAATTCATCTTAGTGAGGTACATAGAACAGTAAAGCTCTGAAAAATTCTATCCACTTTTTTTAGTTAATGTCATTATTTAGATACTAAACTAACACAGTTCATCCTGTTAAGAGAAAGGAACCAACAAAGCCCACCTTATGGAAAAAAACCACAGAACTGGGCACACAAGGAAATCACATAGTTCAGCTCTTCAAAGTGTCTTCTTATTTCATATAATATGTCCTGTGTCATATCGTCTTGAAAAACACACAAGTATACTTATTCAATATACTTTTTTAATAGTTGTATCCATTTATTTTACCTACTCATGTATGTGTAAACTTGTAGGCATGCCCCTAACTTGTGAAAATTCAGGCACTGTGAGCAGTCATTAAAAGCCAACCTGTCTGCTCTAACACATTTTAGACATTTGCTCTGGCACATGTACATCCAGAACTGAGGGATACGTCTCACATTTAATAAAGCAAAAATCAACATTACATGTTATTTTCTCTATTCAAGAGAAGTACCATTAGAATAGATCAAAGATTAGAACAGATGTTACTTAGAAAGTTACATAAAACTTTAAAATAAAAAACTGTCTCTGAAATCTACTGCATAATAGTCTTTGCTTTCTAATACCATCCAGAGCAGCACACCACAACTTCTCAATTCTGTATTACTCAAATAATACTATAATATTTACTAAGGTTATTTTTTCCACTTTCCTTTCTAAGTTTTCATTCCTCATAAAACTGTATCCAAACTGTGTCACATACTGCTTGTATATTTGCTTTCCCATGAGATGTTGTCTTTTGATGTAGCAAATGTTAGCCTTGAATATTTAACTTTTCACTAATCTCTGTTCTAAAGGTTAGCATGAATCTGAGAAGTGTAATTATTATTCCACTGTTTTACTGAGGCTGGATCAGAAGAAATATAGAAATCAAATACCTGAAAAAATGTCTTACTGTTTAATCAAATTCTTTATTTGCTTCCCTGCTGCTCCCCACCCTCAGCATATCTTGTAGCGATATATTTTTAGCTGCTGTCATGCTGATTCTATGGGTTTTAATTTCCTAACTTTTCCCTTGGGCTCTTTTTAATTAACTTGCTCAATAATCCTTCTTCCTCTACTCCTACACCTCCTGCTTTTCCTTTTAAAGGAAACTATTATTTTGCTCAGGTTAGCAGAGGTTGTTTATCCCACACCTACAGTACTGTAATGCAAAGGATGCCACGATTTGTGTATTTTCTTTGAAGTCATGGCTGTTGAAAGAGAATACTATATGAAATCCTGAAGTTCTGCACATCTTACCTAAACATTTTATGGGTAAAAAGATGAATTCCTAAATGCCTGATTAATACACCTGATATAATACTATGCTCTTCGAGTTTATGAAGAACTTCAAGAATATCTCTTTCATTTAAAAGAATATTTTCTTCATCATCTGCCACTAAATACACTGAATTTAGGAATTAATACAATGTTTTTCTAAAATTTATTTTAATTATTAATTAAAGCATACTTTAATTATTAAGGTCAGCCAGGGACACACAGCAATGATATCAGCAACAGCACTGGCAGCCAGGGGCTGAGGACTAGAACAAGCAGGGCAGGGCCTCCAATGTCAGAGAAACATGAGTAAGAGCTGAGAGACCCACCAGGAACCATCAGCTCTCATGAGTGAGGCTGACATGGTGCGAGTGTTGCCAGCAGATTTAAATGGCCCCGGAAAGTGTGAGTGACCAGGGCGTGGTGCCATGGTCAGGACGTGGCACAGCAGTTCTCCAGGAAGGGCATGCAGAAAAGGCCACTTAATTCTCCCTGGGGAGGAAAAGGAAGCAGTCTCCTTCTGTTACAAAAATGGCATCTACACATCACAGCTGTCAGACTAAAACCAAGAGAGACCACAGCCACCTTATGTCTAGACCCAAATAGACTTGCTGAAGACTAAAAGAACCACCTGGACCCTCAGCTGCAGGAAACTCCATAATCTGAAAGACCCCCTGGGCCCTGAAGGCAGAGGTAGTTGTCATGGGTGCAACTGTGCCCAGATGGATAACCTGCCTTCTGCAGGTTGCCATGTTGTGTGAGAAGCTCATCAGGCAGCATACGATCTGGGAATCCAAGCAGGAGACTGAGGTATGGGATTATGCACTGACACAGGCAGAGAGGCAGCTGCTGCCTTGGAAGACCTTGGAAACAGAAGGTACATTAGCATCCAACCCTGAGATAGGCTTGATTGATTTGTAAGGCAAGGGAGACTGGACCTCATCTCTGCTTGGAGCAAAAGAAAGAGTCTCCCCCTTGCTACCAAATCGCCCCTACATAACAAATACGACAGTATGAGGTTCGGAGGAGAAAACTCCACAATATGTAGTCAAGAACAAGAAGAGGAGAATGCTACAAAACTGGTACAATCAACCATTCATACGAGAACGAGTGCCACCAAAAGTGCATGAAGCATGGCAATTACTGGAGAATTCTCACTGAGACACAGGGAAGCAGCCATTTACCCTCCAGCCTCTCTAGCAAGATTTCCTGCCTATCAGGGCCACTATCATCATGTCGCAAAGAGGTTACCAAGACTGGTAAAACCAGAGGAGTATCAACCACTCCTATGCTTTCATGCAGGGTTGAATAAGGTTGTAACTATGAGATTGTGAAATATCAAAAGGGATTTCATGGCTCTTGGAAAGACGTTGAAGGGATCAGGAACACAGTGTTCTCTCCACAACTGGAGACTAAGAGCAAATCATGCCTTACCCATCTGATGGCCTTCTATGATGGGATGACTACAACAGCCAACACAGGAAGATCAGCATACGTCACCAACCTACACTTCTCTAAGGTCTTCAGTGTCCCATGTGACATGCTTATCTCCAAATCTGAGAGACATGGATTTGATGAGTGGACTGTTTGATAGGCAAGGAATTGCCTGAATGGATGCAGCCAGAGAGTTTTGGTCAAAGGCTCCATGTCCACATGGGGGCTGATAACAAGTGGGATTTCTCAGGGCTCTGTCATGGGACCAGTGCCCTGTAAAACCTTCCTC